TGAGTTTCTTCAGCTGTTTTATAGCTGGACTCAACACAGTCAACTGGTTGCCACTCAGCCCCAGTCCCTCCAGCTCCACCATCTCTCCAATACCATCAGGGATGGTGGTTAGTTTGTTATATGAGATGTCCAGCTCTCTGAGTTTCTTCAGCTGTTTTATAGCTGGACTCAACACAGTCAACTGGTTGCCACTCAGCCCCAGTCCCTCCAGCTCCACCATCTCTCCAATACCATCAGGGATGGTGGTTAGTTTGTTATATGAGATGTCCAGCTCTCTGAGTTTCTTCAGCTGTTTTATAGCTGGACTCAACACAGTCAACTGGTTGTCACTCAGCCCCAGTCTCTCCAGCTCCACCTTCTACCCAATAGCATCAGGGATGGTGGTTAGTTTGTTATGTGAGATGTTCAGCACTCTGACTTTCTTCAGCTGAGTCAAACTTGTAGGGAATATGGACAGCTGATTTGTACTCACATCAAGTACCACAAGATTCTTTAGTTTTCCGATACTTTCAGGTATTGTTGTAAGTTTATTCTTTGACAGGTAAAGTTCCTCCAACTCAGTCAATTCAAACAAAGCTGCAGGCAATTCATGCAAACTTTGCCCACCGAGATATAAACTCTTTCCTCCCAAAGATGGTAACACCTTTCTTCTTAACCCTTCTTCAAAAAGAAATTCCATTTCATTCATGGGAAACTGTCACAACAAAAATAAAAGCTGTCATTAAAGGTGAGTAACTTAAACTAATTTGCTTTGGCATTATAACCATTGAACCAAAAATGGAAAAAATGAGGTTTGTAATTTAACTTCTACAAAAACCAAACTAATGAGTTATATTTTATTCCTCTAAGTACAATCTTTGGAAGCCATCAACCCTTCAGTGTTCTTTTAAACACTTTGTGTAAAGACTGCTTATTTGTAAAAGCTTTAGTTATTTATTTTCATGTCAGACATTTTGACTTAAGTCTCAATGTATAATTTTTTTTGTCAAAAATAAACAACTGCTTGTGTTATACAGTCATGTTAACAACAAGGCTATTATGAACAAGAAAATACTTGAATTTTAAAACAGAGTTCTCTCGACTCTTTAAAAACAACATGAAGATTACTTTTATTGTAAAGGTTAATATCTAACAGGAAAGAAATCATTAGCACAAATCTATGGTTGGTTATGTTTTGATGCGATAACCTTAAACAGTTGTAATATAAACCAAAACATGAATGATTTTCAAGCTGAAAATATTCAAACCAAGTAGCTATTTCCAGACCTGTTATTTCATTTTATCCCCTGTAAGTTGTTTTCATTTCCAATTGACACAGAAAATTACTCAGATGATCCTGATTCTTTAACAGAAACTGATTTCATAAGTCCTTCTCTCTGACATAATTCATTGTTTGGAATACAATCTTATCCTTTAGCTCCATAACACTTCTCATTCCTTCAACTGTAAAAGGATTCCCTCTCACATCCAAATATATTAGTTTCTTCCGCTGGTTTATAGCTGGACTCAACACAGTCAACTGGTTGTGACTCAGCTCCAGTCTCTCCAGCTCCACCATCTCCCCAATAGCATCAGGGATGGTGGTTAGATTGTTATGTGAGATTTCCAGCCATTTGAGTTTCTTCAGCTGTTTCATAGCTGGACTCAACACAGTCAACTGGTTGTGACTCAGCTCCAGTCTCTCCAGTTCCACCATCTTCCCAATAGCATCAGGGAAGGTGGTTAGATTGTTATGTGAGATGTCCAGCCATTTGAGTTTCTTCAGCTGTTTTATAGCTGGACTCAACACAGTCAACTGGTTGTGACTCAGCCCCAGTCTCTCCAGCTGCACCATCTCCCCAATAGCATTAGGGATGGTGGTTAGTTTGTTATCTGAGACGTCCAGCACTCTGAGTTTTTTCAGCTGAGTCAAACTTGTAGGGAATATGGACAGCTGGTTTGTACTCACATCAAGTACCGTAAGATTGTTTAGTTTTCTGATATTTTCAGGTATTGTTGTAAGTTTATTTTGAGACAGGTAAAGTTCCTTCAACTCAGTCAATTCAAACAAAGATGCAGGCAATTCATGCAAACTTTGCGCACCGAGATATAAACTCTTTCCTCCCAAAGATGGTAACACCTTTCTTCTTAACCCTTCTTCAGAAAGAAATTCCATTTCATTCATGGGAAACTGTCACAACAAAAATAAAAGCTGTCATTAAAGGTGAGTAACTTAAACTAACTTGCTTTGGCATTATAACCATTGAACCAAAAATGGAAAAAATGAGGTTTATAATTTAACTTCTACTAAACCAAACTGATGAGTTATATTTTATTCCTCAAAGTACAATCTTTGGAAGCCATCCACCCTTCAGTGTTCTTTTAAACACTTTGAGTAAAGACTGCTTATTTGTAAAAGCTCTAGTTATTTATTTTCATGTCAGACATTTTGACTTAAGTCTCAATGTATAATTTTTTTGTCAAAAATAAACAACAGCTTGCGTTATATACAGTCATGTTAACAACAAGGTTATTATGAACAAGAAAATACTTGAATTTTAAGACAGAGTTCTCTCGACTCTTTAAAAACAACATGAAGATTACTTTTATTGTAAAGGTTAATATCTAACAGGAAAGAAATCATTAGTGCAAATCTATGGTTGGTTATGTTTTGATGTGATAACCTTAAACAGTTGTAATATAAACCAAAACATGAATGATTTCCAAGCTGAAAATATTCAAACCAAGTGGCTATTTCCAGACCTGTTATTTCATTTTATCCTCTGTAAGTTGTTTTCATTTGCAATTGACACAGAAAATTACTCAGAAGATGGTCCTGCAGGTTCTTTAACAGAAACTGATTTCATAAGTCCTTCTCTCTGACATAACTGATTGTCTGGAATACGAAAAAAAACAGAATGAGAGCCTTTTTTTCTTTCATTTTTTTTTGTTTTTTGTTTTTTTTGTTTTACAGAGTTTATCACCCAGCATGATGCTTTTGAGACAACAATTTTCAATTTATGATACATCTTGCTTGAGATCTAGGTCAGCAAAAGTTGTTGTACACATTATGTCATGTAATGATGTGGTTGATGCAATAAACAATTTAATTACAAAGAGTAAAGAAAACTGATAACAATTTTTTGTTTATGTTTAAAGCATAACTAAGAAGGGAACCAGCTCCACAAAGGTACATGATGAACTTCCTCGGAAGCCTCTCAGTATCAGGAGAGAACTACATACATTAAGCCCATTTTACAAAATAGTCAAGAATCTTGCTCCATATTATTCAACTGAGCTATTGTGGCAGCCTAAACTGTCAAGTGGATACACATATTTTTGTCTTAAATCAAGAGAAAACTTCACTCAATTTCCTTGTAGAAAATTCTACACTTCAAAAGTCTTTTTTCTCCACCCATTATCACTTGTCTCGACCTAGTTGTCCCAAACTCTGTATCTCTTCCCACTTTGAGATCAAACCTGGTAAATTCTCTTTCTGCATACTGACACTAAGTTATATGATTGTTCTGTTACATGGGATGCATCTAATGATCACACCTACCTCAGACTGGGTTTCTATTGTCTTTGAGAATATCTCTTGAAAATTAATAGTTGTGCATCACCTATATGCCAGTGCAGTTTTGACTCTGAATTAGTGACATACTCTTTTTTGTTTTTTCTAAAGTACATTGACCTCAACGTAATGTCCTAATTCTACCTGTGCTGCAAATATTCTAGGTGAAGCATGGTCACTGAGCAGCGATGCAAGGAAACTAAATTTGTATTGTATAGTATTGAGTCTGTAAATAACAATGTCAACTGTGGTTTTTTTCACAAAGTACAAAGTTTGATAATTAATACTAATGGCTTCTCAGAGGCCATTATTTGATTGTTTAAATAATATACCCCTCTAGCTTTGTTGGTTTAACTCATTGTTATTGCCAATGGAGGGTGGTTTGTGTGTCTGTTTGTCTGTGTGCCTGAATAAATTGGATAAAAATTTGTAATATTGTAATCCCCTCCTTAAGCCAAGGAGATTTTGGGGAAAATAATGAAAAATGTGCTTAAATAAAAAAAATTAATAAATAAATAAATTCAACATTCACTGGAAATATTGCATTTATCATGTCAAGTATACACACTATATATAGTATGTTGATTGAAGGCTGTCAACCAAACAGGTTTTTCATAGTAACTCCAATGTATAATAATCAAAGGTCTTGAATACAAACAGGGAAGTATTTCTTGCTTTCGCAAACGAGAAACAACAGGCCAAATACTGGAATCACATTAAATTTTTTTTGGCTTCAAATGCACATTCAAATATGCTGTGGTTTCTACATCTTACAACGAAAGATTGTTATGAATCAAAAATGACTGCATGAGTTCAAAAGTTTCTAAGAATTTGACTTGTACCTTAATTTTCACTTGTGAATTACCGAAGCAGAAAGCGAGCAAGTATCAAATACGTGACATTATAACTGCATGAAGATCATTTAATCAGGCTTACACTTGGTTACTTTTCAGACCTTGGCGGTTTCGAATACATTTCTAACTTCTATCTGATAAAATTCAATGAAGTACAATCACGGAAATCAAGCGAAAATTTTGTTATCAGTTTAAACGCTCTCATTACTTGTTGTGAATACTAATCGACGCTCAACAACTACAAGACAGATAACGGTCAGAAACAGTTTCTCTGGTGCATTCCAATTCCAATATTGTCCCGTTATAAACGCTATCATAACTTAAAATCACTGTTTTCCTCTTGCTGTTGCTTGGAGTTTCTACTTTAACTCGTCTGTTACAGAACATCGACTGACTCCTGCAAGATCGTATGACGAAAGTGCTCTGCAACTGACGAGCGTCGTTAAAGTACGAACAACAGATAAGAACCCAGCAAACTTAGAATACAAAGGGAAAGAGAGAGTATTGGAGATATCAGAGAATTAATTAACCTGACAGGAAATGACGGCCAAAACACTTGAGGGGAAATGACTTCAGTTGTATTATCTTTGTTCGCATATCAGGAGTCTAGCGAGGCTACGGTTTACACAAATAGGCTAAATTCTCAGCTGTGTTGAACACAATACTCACGCCTCAGCAAAGTGAAAAACAACTGCGGCGAATTATGACGAAATCAAAGACAGACGGTGAACTAGTTAGCTGTTCGGCTGCTAGTAAACACTCACAAACTAGGTTCGATTTACATCACAATGCTTCTCACATGTTCCGTGACCACGCATGATGAGTAGAAGGGATGGTCGTTCTAATTCGCTGCGCTCAGACGAACGTAAATTATTTTCTCCTTAAATACTATTTATAGAAATACAACACCAAAGGAATGATGGTTGGATGCTCAGGCAATCCAAGCTGACATTTATTCATACAATTGACGAAAGAATATTACAATTAAGGTACCCTAACTGCTACAATCCCAAATTATTAGTTATTTCTAGACACTTAGATACGTCTTCAAGGACATACAAGGACATCTTTAGCACAGTCCGACTTCCAACGACCATGTGATTTAAGTAAACGTTCCGATAAGCTGGTGCTGTTGCTAACAACAGATGTAGCCCCTCCCGATCTTAAGCTATGCAGGCCATACAACTTGTAGTCCAAGCCAAGATCCTTAAGACAACTCTTAAATACTTCCCCACATCTCGTATACGGAAGCCTGCTTCCATATAACTTGTAAGTAATGGAAGATTTGAGCAATCTTAAAGGTCAGCTAAAGAGTGGCAAATTGCTGTTAAGATCTACTTTAGCCATCAGAATGTATCTTTCTAGGAGGGCAACAGGACAATATCTACCAAACAATCTCTTAATATAAACCTTATTCCCTTCTCTGTAAACGTCATTCTTGGCACGGGGAACAAACACACAAATGATTAGGAAAAAATTCCAGATGACTAATCAAAATATTACTAAATTCATCATAGCGAAGAAACCCCGCGAAACCTAACGAGCACATGCAAGCTAAACGCAAGTCCTTGAGGTTAGCTGATGGACCAGCATACTTATCAATGATTTTCTTTATAATATCGGCAGAGACGGGTTCCTTCTTAGAAACAGCTGGTTTGGTGCGTTTAGCTGCTTCTAACAAATTATGGCAAATTGCTGCATCCAAAGTATTGCTAATAATGCCAGGAATAAAGGAATGAAACCATTTACGGGCTGCATGTGTCAACGATAGTGTTGTATAAGACTTGGATCTAACCGTATACCTCGTGAAGGTAAGCAATTGGAACTGAAACCGAAAAAGGAGGCGACAATTGAATACCGGAGAAATAACACCATCTTCAGAACTTGACGATTTCTTTTGTATATCTTTTACTGTGGAATCCGCCTTAGACTTCATTGAAAAGGTCAGAAGATCTTTGGTGTTTGGTTTCACGTGGTCGGAGATGTTCTCCCAATAACCTTGAGTGGTAAACATCTGATGAAAACAAAAGAAAACAAGACAAAAGAGAACGGAAAACATTTAAAAGAAACGCCGCAAACTAAAATACAAGATTCAAAGCAACAACCGGTCTCCGAAAACAGGCCAGCGCCACCTTTCTATCGTATGCACAAGCGTTCTACTACCACATAAACTACCTCAGAATATAAGCTGGAGACGATAAAGTGCTC